ATTACATTTTTGGTTATAAAATAGAGTTATTTTATTATTTTCATATTCTATTCTCATAAGAATTGTGTGTTAAAAGTATCATATTATATTTATATATATTAAATTTATTTTTGTACATATTTCATATATTTATGTTGTTTGAATATAATCTCAATCCCTTTCTTTTGAACTTAAATAAATTTGTTGACTTTTAGACTAATAATGTAATTAAGTATGAATAAAAAACAATTAAATATTGTTTAATTTTTTATATATATTAATTTACTTAATAACATATAACAGCTTAATTTATTAATTTTAAAATATTGTATTCATATATGATAACTTATGCATAGTTTTACAATTATATATATATTTGACCAAAGGTTTATAAACATGCATTATAGCATAATAAGCTATACATATAAATTAACAGTCATGTAACCCCATTGGGCATATAAACACTACGACTGCTATTATCATTTTTTTTTTTTTGATTGATTTCGTTTTTTAAATACAGATTTTGTTTTTACGCATATTTATGCTGTTTGAATATAATCTCAATCCCTTTCTTTTGAACTTAAATAAATTTGTTGACTTTTAGACTAATAATGTAATTAAGTATGAATAAAAAACAATTAAATATTGTTTAATTNNAAAAAGCATGTAATTAAATAAATGGAGTTTGAAATTTTTAAAACTCTTCGCTAAGATTGGGCCATAAATTAGATTTTAAAGCAGGTTTATATTGCGTACAAACTATACTTTCGCTGCCAGCCAATTGTTGGTAGAATGTTAGAAAATTAAACTACATAGTAAGGTTATTTTAGGCATATCATATTTTTACAGATTCATTGACACTTTTATAATAGTATAGATAGATATAGATAGATATTTCAGGACCTTAACATCTAGATTTGCCAACTATGTTAAAAAGATTATGGTGAACAGCCTCATTAAGTCAGCAACAATTACACTAGTGAAAAGCATTGCATACCCTGATTGAGTGAACTCCTGCATTACAGTGGCAGTTTCCCTCACCAATTGAGTAACTGGAATTGGTTCCTTTTTTTTTCAAAATAATAATCCAGGTCAGCATAACATGTTCTAGTTAAGCTCTTTGCTATTGAGGCAAATTGTTGTATAATGCTGCCCAGGAAGGTAAATACCTTGTACAGTCGAAAATACTGTTCAGCCTGCTTTCTACTTTTGCGCACCAAAACTCGGGAATCGGGTCCCATACCACTGCAAAATTACAAAGATTAATATGAAATGATAAGAAAAATATCACTTACTGATTAAACACTCATGGAAGAGTACACATTATGGAACTAACACCAAGATAAACCAAGACTAGTCACACTTTCTCAAGAAGCAAGCCTCACACTTATTTACCATCACAAGACAACAAAAAAATCATAAAAGTATGGCTTAGAGGCCTTACATAGCATATTAAGTATCTTTAATGTGAATAATTAATTTATATCAACCTGTAGACAACTCCAATGTTTGGTGTCAAAATCTGAATCTTCTGGACCTGTTTCACATATCAGCAACATGAGAATTAGAAACATGAAAATATGAACTATGTGAAGGAAAAGAAAATTTGACTCGAACATCCAGGACAAGGGTCATAAGGAAAAATGGAAACCCAAAAAGATACCAGAAAGTAGTTCAACACCATTATGATACAAAATTAGTTTGGAAGTGACTAACACAAGACTATCAAACAGAAACTGAGAAGCCCCGAGAGGAGCGATCATCAGACCAAAAGATGACATCATCTGTAATTCACTTGTTATTATATAAATAAAAGTCGATAAAGTAACACTTACAGATGTCTCATCAACCAAAATAGATGGTAATTTCTTCTCAGTCGCAATAACAACACCATTAGCAGCTGCAACCACCCAAGCAAACACAATCAGTAACACTGAAGGTTTCTAAAATAAGTTTAAAGAGCAACATTAGCAGATTATGATTACACATTATCTAGAAGCCAAACAGTAAGAGACCCTTGACAATAATAAACCTAATGCATCCTCATACGCAGATCCTATCACTTGTTAATATATATTTATGATCCGGTTCATGACTAAAGTTTCTCAAAAGAGCACGCAGAACTCACCTTTGATTCCTAGAGATGTTTGACCAGATCCAACAGCTGTAAGAGCATGTTCAATCTGAACGAGCTTCCCCGAGGGACTGAAGCCATGATAAATATAAATGATTGCCACACAAGACTAATATATCATTTGAAACAATTGAGCAACCAAAGTACACATACCTGAAAGTGGTGAGAGAGAAAGAGTACTGACTGTCACCCATTAGTATCTTGTTTAACGTTCAATGCCTTTTGAGGATAAATAAACTGGCAAAACATAGATAAATAAATAAAAAAAGAACGAAGAAGGCGCCATGATCAGAAACTATCGATGCTGTCTGCACCAAAACAGAAGCATTTTGCACATCAGGACTGAGGCTTTTGATGATTACATAAGTAGGAAGACTCCACAAGTAATAATAATCATAGCGAACCCTCGAACTTCGGAATCGACATACTGACAGATTTCGAATAAAAATGGTGAAAAACTCACTGTAGACCTAATTATATGCAAGATCTATCAAGAACTTAAAAACAAATGAAAATCCAGAAAATGCATCCCTTTCGATATTTGTAATAAAAACATATTCCATAAATTTCTCGACAAACCCAATTATATCAAACAAAATCAACACAGTAAAAAAATCATACAAAATTCCATACCTTTCTCGACAAACCCAATTATATCAAACGAAATTAACACAGTAAAAGAATCATACAAAAAAAATGGAGCTTAGGGATTGAATGGAGAGGCTATACATACCTTAAGCA